TTGAACTCAAATGGCAATACATTGCAATTTTAAGTAATAAATCTCGCAATATTTTTTAAGGTCTCTTCCCTCTAGTTGTGCACGGTTGACTGAATTATTCTCCCAAGAAAAAATTTAATTACCTTCTAATTACATTTACATGATGGAAAGTAACAGCAAATCAGCTCTTCCAGCAGAGCAAATCATAATGTCACTTGCAGTAATCAGTCGAAAATTCGTCTTCATTCATTGCCTTGAAAATTCATTGCCTTGTTCTCGCTCCAACCTCATTGAAGATCTTAGCTAGAATATATTTGCCCTTGTAATAAACATCACTTTGCCCCGATGATTCACCGATAGTTTTCCATAGAACACAAAAAATCATGTACGTCTATTTTTCTTCAAGAGAATTTTCTTCGCTTGATTCATAACACAGCGTATTTTTGTGGTCAAAAGATCGCTATCTCGGACGTTTACCAAGCTCGCTGCTCACGATGTACTGGGGATCTGACCTATAACGTGACCTGTTCTCTCTCTCTCTGGTTTGCAGTTGTCCTGCAGCTTTCCCTTTCGCAGGCCGCGTGATGCCATGCCAGTCTAACTTGGTAGAGGGACCATTACAAATTCTAGACACGTTATGAGCGACCGGACGCCTCACGTTCGTCACACAACGGAAACGAACAAGCAGAGTTCCCTTGATGAGTTGCACCTGTCTCTCCTGCAGTTGTTGCAGCATATTGTTATTGAATGGCTTTCTTTGGTTTATGCAATAACTGAGCTTGTGTTTTGAATTGTTATTTTATGTTATGGAATGCCTGCTTTGTGCTGCGAAATGGCTTCCTTGCGCAACATGTTTATCATTGTTTTATTATTATTTTTTAAGTTTCATGTCCAATTTGTATACGTATTTAGAGGCTAGAGCTGTGGCTTTTATCCCCTTTAGGCCGCAAGTTACGTACGTACCAAGTTGCTTGGCACAACTGTGATCCTCGTACTATGTTGAAGGGGTACTATGTAGACGAGGTACTATGTAGACGAGTTACTATGTAGACGAGGTACTATGTAGACGAGGTACTATGTAGACGAGTTACTATGTAGACGAGGTACTACTATGTAGACAAGGTACTATGTAGACGAGGTACTATGTAGACAGGTACTATGTAGACGAGGTACTATGTAGACGAGGTACTATGTAGACGAACGTAGTACATGTTATGTATTTCGTGTTCCCAATATTCTCAACTGCTTCCTCATTTCATGACGGTATACCAAATGCCTTAGCTACTCATATATTTCATATATACCGTATTTCATGCCAACAACCAAAGAACCATTTCATGCCAATACGCGCCATGTGACCATAAAGCCAGAGTACCATATCAGTCATACTGTGTGCACTGTACACTACACGTGCGATAAGTACCGCTATAAAACATATGTTGCAACGGCGGGATGCAGATGCTGTGCCAGACAGACAAGATGGCATGACTTTCTCCCAGCAAAATCCATGGCAGGCCCAGACTCCACAACGCGGGGCAGGAATACTGGAATGACGCAAAACTGCAGAGCAATTTAGGCATGCGGTAATATTAAGTTAGATTATATAAACTAGTTGAATTTGTAATTGTAACTTAATATCGATTAAAAATGTAATACCTGAACCGTCCAATATTCTTGGCCCAATTAATAGGAGCAAAGCATAAATATAAGGACTTGATTGTATTGAGTTTTACTTCCCTAGAACTCGTCTAACTCAAGTAATGCTCAGATTTCCGAAAAAAACTGAAATTAATTATAAATAACTGAGTAGGTTAGAGAGCACTGTTTTAATAATTTGTTAGTTGAACTTCTTTCTTTACACTGTTTTATTGCCGGTTAAGGCCGTTATTAAATATTTGAAAAGGCCTCATACTTTGTTAGAAACTGATTATTCAGATTCAACGATTCCCGCGAACCTCATCGCTACATTCAAGATTATTCATAATTTATTGAATATCAACAAACTAAATATTTATGAAACAATTATCACTTGATAAAGTGACAATTATCAGTAAATTGTATTGCAGAATTGATATATTACACACCGTAACCGCACAACTCAAAGAGTCCGGATTTTTCATGAAATGAACGCTGTGGCGATGCAAATTTCATTGAATTTAAACCACACTTCTTCCATGAATCGACTATCATGAAGATGCACATGCAAGCGTTATCCCTAATACAATAATTTGTTTTTAATCTCAGTCATTCCAACGCTAAAGTTCATATGTTGCGCCGCTCGAAATGAAACTGAAATTCTTACCATTAAGTTCTCATGGAGCGCAGTCGTGAGAAAATCTTTCACTTTTATTGCGGCGAAGAGAGTTCACCAATAAAAATTATCTTAATGACAGATCCCTTTGATTATCTTCATCTGCAAATCAATGAGCTTCAGCTCGTTAAAACACGTTCATAGTAGGATCTGGTGTATTATATTAAAACACGTTCATATTCGGATCTAGTGTATTATATTAAAACACGTTCATAGTCGGATCTAGTGTATTATATTAAAACACGTTCATAGTCGGGTCTAGTGTATTATGTAATATACTTCAATTCCATGCAATACAGTATTTCTCTGTTTATATCTCTTTATCTCAACTGCATAGAAGTATGAGCGCATTAATCAAACGAAATAGTTTCAGTTTTGTAAATTGCCTAACTTTCTTCCCGGGCGCTGTATACACGATTGTGGACAAGACTTAATTCAATATGTTAAATTTTGAGTAAATTTGAAAGAATCTTTGCTTTCACTAACAATTTATTCACAGTTCATATCGACTTCTTCAAGAACCAGTTGCAGGTCAGGAAAAACATACACCTTATACACTCGTAATACTATTCATTTAATAGAAGTTTACAGACACAGCTTGAACATTTCACCCATTTTCCCATAGGAGAATTTCTATTTTCTTATGCTGCAATTTGGCCATATTACGTCTGAAAATGAAGCTTTTATCAAAGTCGGAGTCTTGGAACTAAAGCAATCGTTGACCGAAGAAAACAATGTTCCCACGACGCAATTTGTCGGTTTTCTCAGCGTTGTAAGAGCGTGAGATCGTAAGTCGTGGTATTTGTAGAGGTATTAATCGATTTCTTGTACAGGTCAGACTTGATTGAAAATCGAAAGTCTTTCATTAAAGTGCTTGAGAAATACATTTTCATTTCAAATACAGTTAATTTCATTTTACACGGGTTGGCGAAAGATTTTATTTATAAATCATGTATATTGCAGTATGAAAGAAATTCAGTCTAAATTTTAATATTGGATTTGTATGTTCTGAGATGTATCTCACTTAGTGTACATACAAACTTCAACATCTAAACTTATTTTTTGTGTAATACAAAAGCGATGGATGTGATGGCTATCTGCTAGGAAAACTGAAACGCATTTATTCATCGGGGCTAACATCTGAAATCGAACAATTCATAAAGTTTTTAATAAATACATTCATATGACCTCAATTGAATAAGCATTGAAGACTCACTTCAAACCATACCATTAAGATAAGAATCTAAATTTACAAAAGCGCAAAGTACCATATTCAGTCTAAAACGTGGGCTTTAAAGTGTTTTTGACATTAAAGTATTTCAGCTTAAAAACCCTCCGCCCTGTAATATAATAAGCCACGACCCTGCGAGTCGATCAGTATGTGCAACCTTCCCCTGACTGAGTACAAGAAAGAAGTCCTCGTCGCGCTCCCTGTAGTTAGCAGAGCTTACTTAATTAATTATGCTCGAACTGCGTCGGTTGTTTCAATGTTTCATCGATTGTCGTAAGATCGGTCAGGGTCGTTTCTTCTACATCAAAGCTCACAGAGTTTAGGATGTTTTATGATGCTCACAGAGTTTAGGATGTTTTATGATGCTCACAGAGTTTAGGATGTTTTATGATGCTCACAGAGTTTAGGATGTTTTATGATGCTCACAGTGTTTAGGATGTTTAGGAATGTTTTATGTATGTCTTTTCCCATGTAAGAGTTAGATATATGACAGAGATTTGAAAACTAATTATACTTTTATATTAGTAGTTGTTTAGAAAGAATCAGCTCAGTTTCATCAAAGCCCATCGTTCGAGAAAGAAAACAAATAAATTATATAACATTTAATTTTCCAAAACTTGTGTTATGCATGAATAACTCTGATTGTTGTTTCCCAACAAACATCCGGAGTGTTTTAGTTCCTGGGAGGGATTCGCGATCTCCCTTCTCGAAATATTAAGACTAATTTATATCTTAGACAAGATCGTTTTTTTTTTGAATGTTAAAAAACACTAGGAAACAACAATTAAATGATATTGACAGATATTGCTGAGTCGTTTCTGAATGTCTATTGAGCGATATCCCTTTATTATTATAATAATATTATTATTATTAATTTTTATAATATTATTACAATCATTATTATTACTATTATTTGTATTTGTATTATTATTATTTTTATTATCATTATAATTATTATTACGAATTTCATTTATTAATATAATTTACTTTAATACATTACTGTTCTAATTATAGTCTATTGTTTTTACTATAGACATATTTTTTAATCCTCTTGACCATGGAGATATAAAATGCACTGAATTGGATTACAGCGTCCACCGCAAATATTTAACTACCACTGTAAGAAAACAACCATGGATTGCAGTAAAAGTTTTATTATATAAACTTATCGGACAATTACACTCTGTGAGTGCAAGAATTTGAATAACAATGAACGCTGTAACTCAATAAAATCATTCAATAAGTTTTAGGCATTTCCCTGCATTCATTCTAGCTTTCTATACATAATTTTCAAATGTCATTCCATGAATGTACATAATGTTCTATTTAAATATTAAAATAATAAAGTACATGCGTCAAAATTAACATTAAAGTGCCTTCAAAAAAACAATTGTGAGCCAGAGGAAGCGTCGGTACGAGGTACCGGCAACGGAGTGAGAGCTCCTATATAACGGAAGAACGGAGACGCCCAGCGTTCACTCCTGCTTTCAGAGTTGCCTGTTGCAGTGCGTCCAGTCGTGGCTCTGTGGTCAATGTTTATAGACGTGCCTCGACTACCCAGACTTGTTGCTAAAACTATACCCTTTGTTAATTGTTGACGACGAACTCGTGTAGAATACGAGTGAGAATACGACCCGAGAAGAGCTCTGCGCTACGTTTGTTTTAATACATCGACACTTTAAAAAATGGTTGGTTTAGTATTGTTTTTATTCACGAGATCCCATGACTAGTGCATGAGATTTTTATTTGTTACACTTTATAACGTAATATTTCTCATTGGTTATTTACAATTTTAGAGGAAGCAAATGACTCAAATTCTGAAAGGTTTTAGGTGTTTCACGGCTGTAAATACTTACATCTGAATAGAAATTATTTGTAGATTAAGGAAAATGGAAATTTCTTTGGATTGGTCCAAATTATTGTATTTGGTTTGCATCCATGAAATTGATTTTATAAAGGCTTCCCAGAAAGTTGCTTCACAATAGTTTCCTCGAGAGAACCTAGTGCAGTACTTTATCGAACTCGTAAAGTTTTGGAACAAAATATTCAGATTCATGGGATTATTGTACGATAAAAGTAGGGAACTGCCGTGCAAAGTGTCTACTTGTTATTGTTATTATGTATTCGGTGGCTGACATTTTAATTAGGTTAGGCATAATCCTTCAAGTATACCTAGATTTCGTTGTGTCAGTAGGAAAGTAAATGAGACGGAATAATCGAAAGAATATCGTTAGAAGCCGCAATAATCAGGTATTATATCAATCAGATTTTTCCCGCATCTTTTCAATAAACGAAACTCTACATTGGAAGGAGAAATAATTACTGAGAGTGGATTATTTTGGCTAGATTTAAAGTTTAATGCGAAGCTCGTGTATAATTAGAAATTTTAAAGATGTTTAACTCATGTTAAACATTCGTGGGCCTATTTTCTTCAATGCCGACACTTCTATTCTATTCTATGTGCTATATTTATCATCTGATCCCACTCCCGGCTTCAAACCAACCCTTACATCTCAAACGTAAATATCGTAGGGGTTTTATGTTTTTTTGGATCCGGCGGCTTTTAGTGAAATTTTGTAAATTACACTTAAGATGAGAGAGAGGCACAAGCTTTCACCTGCCGTGCACCACGCTAGGTCCTGGGTGGCGAGTGGTGATTATTGAGCCATCACATGTACACATTGTACAGTCGCGTGTCTCATTAGTGATGCCATCACATGTACACATTGTACAGTCGCGTGTCTCATTAGTGATGCCATCACATGTACACATTGTACAGTCGTGTGTCTCATTAGTGATGCCATCACTTGTACACATTGTACAGTCGTGTGTCTCATTAGTGATGCCATCACATGTACACATTGTACAGTCGCGTGTCTCATTAGTGATGAGCCGGCATACAAAACTCTGATGCTATAAAGCTTATGTTTGTATTTTCTTGTTTAAATCCAATCACCGATGGGTATGACCTACTGAATAAATGGAATTTATTTGTGTTTTTAGCGGCCAGGTTATTTTGTTTACTGCGATCGTGACGAATTTTTCCGAAAATTTTTTAATTCAATTAAGATATATTTTTTATTCTATATTAAATTCAGTTCCATACATTAAATAGCCTCATCAAATGAAATACCAATATCATTCATGAGCTACAGTCCCTTAGATTAACTCTAAAAGTGTTGAAATCAGTGGACATATTTAAAGGGGCACGAGAGAAATCTAGCAGTCCTCGCCACGGTCCGGATCCGCAGTTTTGAAATCATGAGAAACGTATCCAGTTTTTGCCCGCATGCCGCCTATACTTTCATTGACTCTCACTCTGGGTTGGTTTTTGTTTCTTTGTCCGCCGCGGGAACAATCGGTATTTTACCCAAATTTTTTGAGAAAATATTCCTAACTTAATACTGTGTGATATTTCTCTTAGTCTTATTAACTATTGGATGTCATGGAAGGTTTGACTCATCGTTAAAACACCAAGTTTTAGAGAAATGGCAAATTGTGTATTTTGATGTCAATAATTTTCGTCAACATATTTTGACGATGTGCTGTTTCTTTCGTCATAACGTAAACTAATAGTAGAGTATGCATTATTGATATTGTTTATTTCTATCAATCAAAAAGGCATCATCAAACTATAAACCTCTCAAGCGCACGCGTGGCACCGTAAAGATCACAGAATCGCATCCCTATTCATCTTACATATTGAATTACATTTCTTTATTCGAGAGCAACCTACGTATTAAATTGACGTTTTCTTTGCTAATAACTCACAAGCACACAGAGCAGCAAGGTTTCAATAAACGCAGTGTCCGGTTAGGCGCCTGATTCCAGCTAGTAACGCCACTTTAATAAATTATCAAAACCAGTTTTTGCGTGCAGTTTAGGCGCGGTTGGCGGATACAGGTTGGTCACTACAGCCCCTAAGTTCAGTGCCCAGAGTTCTAAACTTTCTCACACTTAATATGTCAAGAAGAAAATTTCAATGTTCGTACGGAACTAGGGCACGAGGTATCGGACTTCCGCCATCGACTTTCGTCTAAAGACTTTTATGTGGTTGTGAAGAGAGCGAGGGTTCGGCTATATACATGCCACAGATATACAGGAGTTGGACAAAATAATAAGGTAAACTCCTGAGAAATTCATAAAATATATTTTGGTATGGTGTATTTCCACCTTTCGCGGCAATTACAGCCTCAATTCTCCGAGGTAATGATTCATGCAATATTTGAATTGTTTCCAAAGTATTTCTAACCCATCCTTTAGTTAAAACTCCCACCAGCTTTTTTATGGACTATGACGGCAGGAATCGACTTCTGATATGCATCTCTAAAATCGACCATAAATGTTCAATAATATTCAAGTCAGTTGATTGTGGTGGCCAAATGAGATCTCAATTTCATTAGAATGTTCCTCGTGCTATTTTTTAACTGTTCCAGCTCGTGTTATTTTTTAACTGTTTTAATTGTGGCTTTATCATCTTCAAAGATGGCGTTCCCCTCCGGAAACATTGCTTGAACCATTGGATGAACTTGGTCCCCCAAAGTTCCCAAATAGTCACGGCTGTTGATTTATTATTATGAAGAGAAATCATTGGCCCGCGGACTTCCAAGAAATAACACTTCAGATCATCACAGATCACACGACATGTCTCCAAACGTAATTGTTGACTTTTTGCATAGTTTCTGAACGTTTTGATTTTTTTAAATTGGACTGATAAATTTTAGATTGATGTCGGGAACTGAGAAAATAAATTTATCATTCTTAATTCATTAAAAACGTTACGTGATGCATGGGATTATAGCTAGCTTTTGTATTATGTTCGACACCAGAACTAGTTAATTTTTATAATTGAAGCATAGTGGGAATTAATTCTAGATTTGCAGTCCTTTGGCCAGCTTGGCAGCTATTGTTTCATCCAAGGACATATTTAACATCGATGTGGTGTTTAAGATGTATTCATAATTTGTTTTATGTCTAACGAAAATTAGTGTTGTTCAACGGTTTGAATTCAATTCAATTCAAATTCGCGCTAATGCAAAAAATGACTGATTTATCAAAGTAGCATCAATTTTCTGGATTTTATTTAGCATTCGTCATCTGTAACATGCATTGCTTCGTTAGCGCAAAATATTTCCTAAGGCCATGTTATACCAATCATCACAAATCACATTGCACAGTATGTATATATATTCATCGTCGCAAAAACCGTCGAGTTGTCTTGCTGTAACGAACATCAGAAAAGAAATTGTGCATTATCTTATGTCAAGGCAGGCTTCTCTCCGAAATCCACCCACCGACTCGAGAACTTTGCAAGACGGTGGGTAGAAAGCTATGTTTTTTACTGCAGAAGGCCTGCCACTGTTCACAACAGGATGGCTGAACCTCTAAAAAACAGGGAAAGTGGATGAAGCCGTTGCTATAGATGGAACAGCAGTTATTATGCCTTCAACACGTTTGTCGCGCGCTATTGCAGCAGACAAAATCTCAAAAACGATACTAGACAAGTAACAATTTTTAAATTTATTATTAAATCAATTTAGTTTATTATACGATAACCATGGGAAAAATAAGAATATATCTGAATGAATAGCAGAAATTATTTGCCCTCGAATAATGATATGAAATCCATAAATGTTCTTCATCAGCAGCCAGTCTTATAATAATGTATTCAAGGCTTTAAAGTTAAAAAAGTAAGATGTTAATCTTAGGGGGGACATGAAGTGGAAATTAAAACGGGAAATAAAATCATTATAAAATATTAACTTTAAACCTGCCTAAAAATATATACATTACTGAGACTCTTCACCTTCCAGAATTTGCGAACTTTAATATTCAGCATAACAGTGCTTCGACTTTACTCGGTTTAGTTTTGTTGAGACAGGTCAGCTGTAAAATAGCTATTGCCTTTGTCTCTAATCGTATCAGCAGCAAGCTATCACTCCACGCTAACAACATGATCACTTCAGCAGGGCTGCATAATTTCACGCTCCATAATTTTATCGACTGAGCAATGCACTATATCGCTCCAAGCCAGCAACCTTATAATTTCAGCAGCGCGCTATCATTTCACGGCGATAATGTTATCGTCTGAGCAACGCATTATATCATTCCCCGCCAACAACCTTATAATTTCAGCAGTGCGCAGTTAATTAACAAGAAACAAGAACCAACACCAGGGGCCACGGCTATAAACTAAAAAAACAGCGTTGGAACACATCCATGCGACAACATTTCTTCTCGCTTCGAGTNTCAGTATATATAGCGCGCTATTTCAACGCGCTGATAATCTTATCGTTACAGTAACGCGCTATCATATCGCGCTAACACAGCGACAACGATCTTCAGGAGCGCTACTTTCACTTCAATGAAAGTGCAGAAGTAAACGGCAACCGCGTGAAATGTGATAACGCGTGTTCTCATTACGTCGGTGCACAGTCGTCCCTGCACTCCTATTCTATCTCAAATTAATTTAACTTTACTTTAATAATATAATTAATGCTCAGAGAAAAATCGATTGCAATGCAATCCAAGCAACCCGATACTCTATCGGCTGGTGAAATAAAGCACCTCATTTTGTATTGGAAAATTTTGATAATTTTTCAAGATTGGTAAGCAACAGAGAGTATTCGCGAAACCGAACTTTTTTTACCACACTCTGGTTTTTCTCAGCTCGAATTTATTGCTGACGTTCCAAGTACATGGTGAATTTCCCTACTCACTCATATTAATGGACACTATGAATAGCGTTTCCATCAATCTTTTGTCATCATTGTGTCTTGAGTCGCATTTGGCCACAGCAATAACACAAGCAAATAACGATTACAAAAATGCGCATAAAAGCTTGGAGCTATTCCGTGATTTCCGGCACGCAAAGATCATGTCGAGACCATAAAATTGTCGCTGCCGTATATCCCGAATATCACCTACAAAAGCGCTTCGTTGCTGCCGCAACTGGTGCCAACAGAACGAGTTTCTCTAGTGCGTTTTAACCCAAAACTGCTCCAAGTTAGGCAATCGTGAACCACTTTCGACGGTATGTTTCCGCGTGCTTCAATTTTGTGTTAGGCAATTTGCCGGCCTCTTGCAAGCCGCGTCTGCAAGCAGCTTGTAAACACACAGCCGTTCGCTTTGTCTTCCGCATACTTGCGTGGCATATTATTTTACGGAGGCGTCCGAAGGACCGTTGCGATATTTTTCTTAATTTGAGCAAAAATTGAGAACATGATCGAATGCTTTTTTGTATTTAACTTCATTCAGGTATTGCACGCCATCAAATTTCATAAACAGCATTGTTAAAACCATTTTTCTCCCATTAAAGAGCTTTTATAAGAGCACATAAAAAAATCAGACTGAAATGGAGCGGATGTTTGAAACAGAAATGAAAATGGTCTCTTTTATGAGAGGTAAAGAAACTATTCGTTCGGCTTCCGTTTTGCAAGTCATTCTCACTGATTAGGTCATAAATACCTTACTACAACATTTAAAAGTAACATGCACAATGATAAATTATTTGCTTCCTTTACATCTTGATTCTCAAACGGTCGAAGTCTTGAATCAATTATTAGTAGGTCTAATGAAGGATGACGAATTGCCAGGATGGCAAGGATGAATTTTTTAATTAAATTAACCGCAAAATTTATTTATTGCGCGCATATTTTTGAAAAATATGTAAGAAAATACTGATATTTATCCCGGACCTACATTTTTTCGCATACTCCCGTGTTGGGTGTATCCGTTAGTCTCAGGCTTGGTTCCAAACTAATTTAATGCTGAGAAAATACCCGCAGGACTTGAATTCTAATTTTCTTAGCTTGTAATAAATGAATGCATATTTTTCAAGCCCGTGTCATCTCATTACCGTGATTGTTGTCTGGGCAGTAGAAGCTCTGGGGCATTAGGGAGGGGCGCGAGGTGCCCAGCGGCTGCTGCAAACAAGACGACAGCTGCATGCTGACGCGGGCATAGAATACGACTTTCTCTTTCACATGGCATGATAATATTGTAATTCAGCTCTATTGTTGGTAGACAACATGAGAAGTGTTTCTGATTATCTTACCAAAGCTTGAGATAATTACTAATGCTGTGAAATTAGTTATAAGTTAAGTGAGGAGTTAGAAACGAAAATCAGGAATGCATAAAAAATTACATGTTTTTCGTACTTACCTCCAATTATTTGTAATTATTAAAGTTCTTAAAGTGTAAAGTAATTATTAAAGTTCTTTATACTTTTAAAACAAAGTTTTTTATTGCTCATACTTTTAAATTGTTTAATAACCTGACAATAAAGCTAAACATAAAAAATTTTCATAAATATTGGTCTGACTCCAGCAGTTAATTCATTGACATTGTCAATGATGTTTTTATTTGTATGTGATGTTCTGCATAGAAACTGTTACTAATAGAGAATTTGACGACAAAGAAAACTGGACTTTGAAACATCTACTGTTGTTATCAGAGTTGTTGCATCACCGACTCAGTGCCCGACAGTTGCTCGGTGAAAGCATCCGCATTGACCGAGTCAAGAGTGATGCCAACGGTGTCTCCGTGCTGTTCCGTTCAGTCGCTCATCTTGATCGGATTATTAAAATTAGAGCCATGACTTGGGACTTAGCTAGAAAATTAGAATTCTACCGGAAATACACCATTTATTAAAAATAAAATTAAAAAAATTATTAAGCCCTATTCGTTTTTTTTTCTCAGGCGAGTCGACTGGCAGTGATGGTGTTGCTTGTGGGAGCGGCTGTGGCTTTCCCCCGGCCTGAGGAAGGAGGCTTCAAACCGGTTCTTGGGGCAAGGGGAAGTCCCTATGCGTTGAAGAGACGTGTTGGAACACCTGAAGTGACCCCAAGAGCTTCACGCGACACTGGAGCAGTCGGAGGAGGATTTGGTGGAGGATTTGGAGGAAGCCTGGGAGGTCTGGGTGGCTTTGGAGGCAGTAGTTTCAGTGGGGGAAGTATTGGTGGAGGATTTAGCCATGGCGGCGTGAGTGGAGGTGGAAGTGGGCTTGGTGAGCCTGACAAAACCATTTATGTGAGGCTTCCACAGAACAACAAAGCGATCCAAACGCCTCCCCGAGCCGCAGGGCCTCCCCAGAAGCACTACCGCATCGTCATCATCCGGTCCCCGAACCCTGCACCTGTGCAGCCCATTCTTCCCCCGCGCACTGAACAGAAGACGATCATTTACGTCCTGCACCAGAAGCCCTCGGCCGTCCAACAGCAAGTGCTTGAGACGCCCGTCGTGAAGCACCCACCTCAAGTGCTCTTCGTCGGATACGATGACGAGCTCACGAGCCACGATTTGCAACAGCTCGCCAAAGGTGACCACTCAGGTTTTAGTGTCTCATCACAGCAGCAGCCAACCGTTGGAACCGTCGAAGGAGGATTCGAGAACAATCAAGTTTTGGATAATTTCGGAAGTGGATTCGCCAGCAGTGGACTCGGAGGACAAGGAGGTTTCACTTCCAACTTCCACTCATCCGGCTCAAACTTTGGAACCTCCAGTGGTTTCTCATACAACAGGAGATCAGCAGCCGAATCTAAAACAGAGTCTTCGTCATAATCGTGTACATTTAGTGTTTTCTTGATTATTTCATCGTCGTGAAAACGACATGAAAAGAAGACAATTTCCTCCTGGGTGGTTGCCCCCTTGACCTTTTGCATTGCAAGTGTTCCATGCAGTCTGTTGCGTTTTGCTGTACTGAAGCCATTTGAGTATCCGAATGAGAGTAAATTCCAAACTTATATAACTTTAATTGATATAATATTAGTGAAGAAAATCTCAAGCAAAATAAGGAACTAATACTTAGTGATGAAACTCCAGAAAACTATGCTGAGTTTGTGTCAAAAACTCAGGGATGTATGTACTCCGCAATGAACGGCGGTATAGGCTAAACGTTGTTTGAAAATTTTCTATTTTCCGTGATGTAGTGAATATTAAGAATAAAAACAAACAAAATGATTGATAATAGATAAAGCCCGTGTCGAATTCCCGAAAACTTTAATTTATAATATTCTAACGCGTAGCCACCGCAAAAATCGCTCATTTGACAGACCTTATTGCAAGTCATGTTGAACTGCAACAGTGGGCCGGACTGCAGCATCCTTCCAAACTCTAATTACAGCATTAAATTAGTTTTATGTGATGTCGTGATGTTGCATCATACCAACACCAGTTCAACAATATTGGCAGTGATCAACCAGGCATCAGCTCGTGGTGTTGTTAGATCATAATCTTCAGTCCAGCAATATAGATAGTGAAGAAAAACGATCATATTAAATTGCAGCAAGACCACAGTCATTAATCGAACGAATAAAATTTTATGTGATCAACCACATATCAGATCCTTGTAATGCTAGACCATTATCTACAGTCCAGCAAAATTGGCAGTGATCGACAAGAGATGAGATCCCTGTAATGCTAGATCATTGTCTTCAGTCCGGCAAAATTGGCAGCGATCTATCAGCGATCAGATCTGTGTAATGCTAGATCATTATCTTCAGTCCGGCAAAATTGGCAGCGATCTATCAGTGATCAGATCTGTGTAATGCTAGATCATTATCTTCAGTCCAGCAAAATTGGCAGTGATCGACCAGAGACCAGCTCCGCGCGATGCTAGATCAGCAGCAGCAGCTGTTGTCTGGCAGCAGACAGGTTCGTAGGACTGTACACTTCCAGTGCAGCTTTCATCACTTTCACGTCCCTCCTGGACTCTGGTCAGGAACGAGGCGAGTCTTGACAAGTCATCCACCCTGGCGACGTATTAGTCTCACAAGTCTGAGCTATTGCCATCGATATGGCAAAGACAATTTGAATTTTAGGGGTCCATTTGGCGTCAGAATTAAGGTTGTTTGAGAATTCGATCTGAATGAAAACACTTGCTCTGCATTTATTTATAGCTAAAATGCGGATTGTTAGTGTGAAGGAGATCCAGAACTCTAAAAAAAAGAGCAACGGTCACCTTTCTGACAAACTAATTTTTTTCCGAATCCACTAATAATTGCACCAGAAATACTCGCATAACACCGCCAAAATGTTAGGGCCATACCTGTGTAGCGGTATGGAATACTATAATAATTTATGTCTCAAAGGCAAATCTTTTATAGTTATAACATGAGCATCACTGTTTCCATTTTGCAAAGCATGATGCAAAGCTGCCGTGTGCAAGTTTTAGTATTCATGAATTATATTTTGTAAGTCGCAACTGGAGGGCTGAGCACACAATTCTTTTTTATTCATCAGCCGTACAAGTGGGTTTATAAATTTCCTGTGATGAATGGATTCTTTTAGTGTCTTAATGTATCTAGCGAAAATAATCCGTTATTCTTAATGATGGGAGATGTCAAGGCTCTATTCACCTACATTTATTTTCTCCATTCATCTCTAGGGCAGTTGTTGATGAAAATGGCATTCCATAGAAATTGTTCGTTATTTTACCTAAAAATTCACACATTGAGAATGTAAAACAGCAAAGTGCATTTAATTGTTAATGATCAAATTTCAAATTACTAAGAGAGTATAATTTTTTTACTTCGTTTAATCTTTCACACATTATAATGTCTGAAGAGACATTTGTTTATTTTTAAGCCATTCTTTGTTACGCTGTAAATAAATACATTTTCTCTTATACAATTTGTTTCAATTACATTTTTATTTTGTGCTCACTTGAGAAATAGTATAGTAGTAGGTGATGGAAATCAGATTCATTTATTCGGGGAATTTTTGTCTCGAAAAGCTTGTATTTATGATGCTAAAAGATATTGGGAGATATTTTTTAACGATATATTTTTTACATCTTTGCAGCATCGACAGAAGATCCTCACCATTGACCAGAAATATACTCTTGATATGATAAAGTTCGTTTCTACTGATGTTGAGTTTTTAACGCATTTACTCATTTATGGAAAAAATGGCGCTATTGTGCTCGTCATGTTCGTCCGTCCGTCCGTCCGTCCGTCAATGATTTCACGTTTTCGTTGATTCTGCGAAAATGCGCTCTCTGTCACTCACTGCAGTAAGTACTGATCTAATTTGTTCAGGTTTGCCGCTCATCCGTCGAGGGTTAAACACATGGAAACTGATATAAAAGTTCAGGCTCCTTCTCTAATTAGATGTGAAATTGATGTATAATCATCCCAGAAGTATTCAATTTGAAACATATTACAGCATTCGCAGCGAATACTTATTGCTTAACTAGTTCTATCAATAATATCTGCTCAGTATATGATCAATAAATCTATTGATCAAATATAAATATTGTTAGTTTCCTTCAGTAACTGAAGTCAATCAGCCATATTGCTCGTCAACATCAAGCCGCCGACTGAATTTTTTTTTCATCATCGAAAATAACTTAGTTCAAGATCAGAAGGGCTGCAGTGTCCAACAAATGAAAAGGCGAAAGTTTTATTTTGATTATCTTAACACTTGATTATTCCCAAATTTTTATTTAATTTATTCTCAAAAATCAAAGCTAATTTACTGCCACCAAGACAGAGATTTGAAGATTGTTCACACGCCATCTATTAATAATTTTATGTAAAAAAATTTAACGTTGAGTGAAGCAGCTTCGCATCCATAACTAGCCAAATTTGCAAATTAGGTCTCTATCCCCACATTTATTATATTTATGCTGATAGTGTAACACATTTGAAATAAAAAATCCATGCATTTAATAACCGACATATTTATTTTATTTGAGAAAATTTCTAAAACATTCGCTGCAATTTTGCTGGTAAATTGGTCATACATACAAGATTTATTTCATAAGACTTCCAATTTAGCGTGCCAGCGGCAGTAGAGCTATAGCATGTATGGCTATCAACAATATCAACAAAATAAATAGCTAGTACAATTGCACACGCTCATTTATGTACATATCTTACAAAATATTATAAAAGATTAACCTGTTAAGAGGAAATAGTGCAGACATATCCAGTTGATGAGCATTAAATTTACAGCTCAAAATGCAACTTAACAGAACCATAAGATGTATAAAAGTTTTTTTTTATATAATTCGTATTTGCACTCATCATTTAAGGAGGGAATGGAAAATTAATGAGAACATTTTCGGGAGATCGGTCAACGACGTGGTGAGGGGCTGTTAGAGAAATGAGGGTCAAAATCTAGCTAATGTTGTGGGTGGCAAAGTTATTGGTTTTCGTCAATTATTTATCGATCGTTTTTTTTCTGAAATTGTGGTACATTGCGTAGTATATTTTCTGAATTTTAATTTCAATTTGGGCTTGTATTGCTCTGAGTATTCCATAGTTTTGTGATGGTTGATTTCCGAAAACAATCTAAAAGTTCATGATCGTGCTTACCGTTTTGTTGAGGTTGACCATAAAGTTAATAATGATTCACATATTGATCACTAGTAACGCCGCATGGTAACATGGCTACCGTTCCTACGTCTGCGCCGGGCGAGCAACTTGCGAGGTTCTCAGCCCATAGTATGTGAAGTACAACGATGGTAACAATGGTACAGAGGCAGACCGCAAACACACAAGAACGCGAACCGCCATCCTAAACTTTATATCTTCAATAGAACATCCCTGCGTGCGAGTGGGATCTGAATAAATAGAAGTTGGGGTTGGATGACGGGATGAGTTTAGGGAGGTGGGGCAGCGGTCTGCCTATGGTTGAGTAGAGAGCTTCATCGCTGCGGCCACCATCAGCGCAGTCGCTGCTGGGTCCACTGCTGCAACCTAGTCAAGGCAAACACGTAAAATTATACGTTGTATCTATTTAAAAAACAAAAACTAAGAATATTTGTCATGACGTTAGAGTCGTCGGATCGTATCCGACGACTATGATTATATTATCCCGACTATTATACTAATTATAATTAGTATAATTAATTTATATATATATATATTATATATAATTAGTATATTAGAAGGGTATGGTGACGGATTATAAGTAATATATAAGACATCACTTAATAGAGTTGGAAACATTTTTCTTCAATAAATTGATGCATTCCAATCGTATAGAGAAACAAATTGCACTATTATCATATTTTTACGATCACCACTGATTACGTTAAGCGTGCTGCCCGAAAATGGCAACAAGTTTTTCATTTTTTTATTCAAGACATTCCTCAATTTCCAGTCAAATTTAGGTACATAAAAACTAAGAATTTCGTTGCTAAATCCTTCATACATAATTTTTTATTAAACGTCAGCTCATAGGTTGAAAGAGTTTTAGTTGGAATTTTAAAGAGACGTTTTAGGATGCTTAAAAATACATCAAAGTAACATAGCAGGGTGGGTTTTGCTCTGTAAGTTAACTAACATATATATTTAATGCAGTCATCATCGTCATTGTGAAATTGCATGTTATAGTTTCCTGCATAGAAAGAAAAATATATATCGCGAGTGGATGGTGAAGGAGGATAGTATGAGGCATCATGCTGTATGTGCATACGTCAGTGATAATCTAGTGCTGGTAAATTTATCTCGATTTAATGTTCCACGTCGGCACTTAATTTGGTGGATAAGCATGCAATTCCCCAATTTATGTGAGCGACGTGCCGATTGGGAGATAATGCCATAAAATTTAAGAATCAGTGCTAAATGAATCGAATTCATAATCAAGATTCAAATGAATACAGTGAAGTAACGCCATGAGACTTCATCACAAGAAGTATAGAGTTGTTGAGCGCAGTTTCAAAATTTTCTTGCCCTTTCACATCAGAACCAAATTACACACGTTGCATTGTATATAAAAGCGTTCGAAGTACGTCCTGAAAATACAGATGAAAAGCCGAGAGAAGAAACGTCTTGGTTCCAGTGGTTTATTTGTCTTGAAGTTAGCCAAAAATCCGCGAACGAAGTCTCTATTTAGCCAATTGCAGTCACAAAATTGTTGTTCATTCCATCGTCTCGTGATCTTTGCATTCACCAATCATACTTTACTGATAAAAAGGGGAGTACCAAGCTGCTTTAGCACGTCGCGGTTGTGGTGAAGGAAAGAACGTATGGTCGAGTTTAGTCCGAAGTGCGAGTTGGTCCGTCACAGCCAATGGTCATTATTAAAAATTATAACGACAAACAACGTTGAATTTTTCGCAGTTCAACTCTCCAGCAGTCAGTTGACTCACCATGAATGTCTTTCATTGTTCTGTGCATCCATTGAAGAAAACTTTTCAGGAGAACGTCGTGTAACGAAGATGTCGATAAAATTGGCACAAGAATGAGCAAACTGCATTATACTCGTAGAGTCAAATGGCTTCATCCAGTACACTAAATAACTTAATACGAAGGAATGATTTCATGTTAATGAAGATACCGAGCCAAGTAAACAGGCTCTCCAGGTCTGGTCGGTGATGCCTTGTAGATGTGGTTTGGCGCTGTAAGTTTCCCAGGTGGCCAATATATTGATGTGCACTGGCGCTGCACTGACGGCATTCGTCTCTGGCGTCGACTGTGTGATGTTTTCCCTTTGCGCAGTCCCCCGTATGTGGGATCATAGCAGGATGAGTCCATCGGGGAGTGCAAGGATGTGTAAATAGAAGGCTTGTGATGAAGAGCTGTGTAAGGTGGGGAGCGAACGTTTGCTGAGTACGAGATGGCACTTATTGGTGAACAAGAGGAAGTGTGTGGGTGCAACGAGAGTGCATTGGGGGGAGGCAGGATGCCATACCCGAACATACCTGTGGATAATCAACGAATGCGTGCAGTGAATTATTGAACGTCTTCTGCCAATTCGTGGCCTCACGAATCCTAGAATTCTATGAGTCCTTTCATTTAAAAATTTTCGGAAGATTTTCCAAGTTTGTATGAGTTCCAATAGATGAATATTTGAGATAACACATAACCATGCTCATTGCGCATGGAATAAAAATTCTAATATTAATTAAATTTTTTTCTAGTTTTCCGTACGAGAGAAAGTCAACAAATAACAGAAATAAATAGACCCACATTGTGCCAATAGATTTTATGTGGCATGAACTTTAATTTTATTCATATGTAACGCTAATTTATCATAGTACCAAGTTCCAAAAATTGGATGCACGTATTAAACCGAAGTATATGCGGAAGAGAGGTTTAAGGAGAGGAGTATATGCGGATTTACGATATACAAAGATTGAACAAACTTTTGCCAGAAGCAATTTACAAAGTGTGTATTCATTACAACGAAAATTCTAAATAAAAGTAGTGTTCGTCGTCTACAAGCATGCATATTACATTTACAAATAGACATTGACGGAAAACAAAATTCTTGAGGTATTTACTCAATTGCATGATATTCCAGTTGGAGTGCATTCTCTAGAGAACGCTTTTTATAGAGCAGACGAAAAATGGAGAATTTTTAGCGTTATTGGTGATATTTTAGTTTTTAGAATTATTTTACTGTGGACAGTAAATAAAATCCCCTGGACAGTTTCAATTTTTAACAAAATAAAAAGGAACTATACTTATGCATATAAAACCGCAGAGAAATCGGAAAAAGTATAATAAATAATTTAACATCAAATAAAAACCAAGTAAAAACACGCTATGGACATGGAGGTTCGAAGCTTACCCGAAGGAGGGCTTTTGTAAAATGAATTGAAGTTTTGTCTAGACGTCGTCTCTTTGACGGGCTTGACAGGTTTGAATAGAAAAAATGACGGCGAATACCGAGCGTCAGAGACTGTCGAGAGCCTGTCGTCTCTGTCGTCTCGGTAGAGCCCGTCTCTGCCCACCGCTGCCATTTGGCGGCCCTGCAAACGACGAATAATTAATATTTTAAGGGAAAATTCAAGCAAAATATTTCTGTCTAATTAATCGCTAAATTTGTTTTGAAATTACTGTACAAAACAAAATTCAGATGCAGGTGATTTTATTCCATGAACGTAGCTCTCAACTCCAAATGTTTAAAATCCTATTCATTATTATTTACAAGATTATTTTTACAAAAAAGTAAGGGGAAAATTATCTTTCGTCGCCGTTAGGTACATATATGGTCAAGTATTGCCAGTGCACCTTCAGAATTAGGGATAAATTACTGGCCGTACGAATCTCTCATGGGTATGAACCGATAACTCCTTTTGCACGCAGGCTGCAGCTGAGCAGGCAGCACCAGCCCACAGATGATCCAGCCCAGCCACAGCGGCAGCGTCACGCCAACGCTCGCCCCGATGTACGACGCCTCACGGTAGTTCTCCCGGTACCCACGACACTGACATATACAGGCTATGTTATACAGGCCATGTGATTATGATTATTATGTTACACCCATTAGTGGCAGTAGTTACATGTATCGGAGTGCAGGATATGTGATTACGATGATTGCAGCCTATGCAACACACGTTGTTGTGAAGTATGTTTCCGGCTAGCAAGACTAAAATGTAACCAATAATCAGTACCATTTAAGGCTAAATCTAAAAATATAAATACATGAAATTTAGACTGCAAACCTGGCTGCAACATGATGGCACAGATACAGCTTTAATATACTACAACTACATAAATGCTTAAGAAGCCACCAAAAAAATTTAAAATACGTATCTTTGGGTAAACACCTTTCAACAAAAATTCTAATTTTTAAATTAAATACAGTCTTGAAAACATTAAAATTTGGAAATTTGGGCTTAGCTTTGGCGAGAGTTTGTGCTTATATGAGATAATAAAAAAACACATGAAGGATGTATTAACATTGAAAAAAAAACAAATAATTTTTGCATGTTTTGACTATGGAACGGGACACGCTGATGACTAAAAATTCCGAAAAAATTACATTTTTGTCGATGTTTACGAACGAGGACTTCTTTAATGGCTTCTCTCTATAAAAACCTTCACAAATGAAGAAAGTTCACAGAAAACAATTCATTCACTTCTCACTTATTTTTTGACAGCGTTTTTCTTTGATGCGATGCAATAGGCCCACCTTGATGGCAAGCACGGCGACGGCTAAGGCGAGCAGCATAACGTAGACGAGGGAGAGGAGCGTGTGTTCGTACGTCTGGCTGCACACCGCGCCAAGAACTTCAGACTCAGCAGCGCCGCCGCTGCCGTCAGCTATCCTCCGGCTAACTGTCAGAACCGATGCTGGTATGACTGCCAACCACTGCACGCTGATGCTCACCTGAATTGAAGGTTTTAATTATTGGGTGGAAATAATTATTTATTCTTTATTCGACATTGGTAAACATTGTGAATTACCTGTTTGTGCTCCGCGTATTAACATAACATAACATTATAGTGATGTCGGCGCTAAAGAAGTTTTTCTTTGGTTTCTTTAATTTCATTTGAGCTTAATTCTGGAAAAGACAATTACTGCTTACTTGTTTTGTTTTTAGTGCCTTATTCGAAAGCGCTGCTCCCCTAATATAAATGGGCAAAATAAGAGAGGATATCTGTCTTTGTTCGGAAATACTGTTTGTTTACTCGAGTGTCTCTTAACGGTATATCCATATATGTTGTTTTCTTTATCTAACAGATACAAACCTAACCCAATCTAACTTAACATACTGTAACCTTGAAACATAAGTTAATGTTGTTTCAACTTATTCCTCCCTTTCTATACGCTAACATAACCTAATCTAACCGAACCAAACTTATATCAACCTAACCTAATCTAATCTGACCATACCTAACCAAGGCTTGGTTCATTACATAATGTGCTTTTTTTATTCGTGCTAACCATTCTTAAGTATGAACGCCAAATTAGATTGTCAAAAAAAGATCAGCACCACATAAATAGCCCTGACCGACTCGAGAAACATAGAATAGAAATGAAAACAAATTAATGTAGCCATGTTTTCGATGCTCACAATGTGCCAGGATTATTGCAGAACGATTTTATAACTAAATCCACATACTGACAAAGATCAACATTAAAAGTACTCTCACAATGAAATTTTGTGATGTACAAAATTCTGACCTGTACGAGTACGACAAAGAAGAGCAGAAGCGCCTGATAGTGAGCAGGGAGATAGACCCCCGAGTTGAGCGAGATGAGGAACACGCACTTCACCAGCAGTGAGCCGAACACCAACGCAGGGGCTATGCTCACCGTTAGCCTGAAAAGCCCCAACTTCAGTTATTTATTTTATGAGTTAAATATAAAATTTCTTATAACTATTTAAGTATCATAGCGCTATTTGCTGCAATCTATCTAATTTTCATGTTTGAAAATGTATCTATGAGGTCTGCTGAATATGTTTGGAATGTCCTATTACTAGAGCAATAGTATGATAAACTAATCATGATACAATAATGGTCATACTCTATCTCATTATTTCAGTAAGCGTTGATATTATTATTGAGGTGACCTGCTTGTCGCACACGCGACCACTGAAGGTTGCAGCGCCAGAGGCACGCCGCACAGCGAGCACAGCAGCAGCCCCAGCAGGAGGCCCTGGCCCAGGAAAAGATGGCGCCGCGACGGCGTCCCGTGCGCTGCTCGCACCAGGATGTACACCTGATGCCAGACGATTGACGGAATTACAAAAATGAAACAAATATACATAAAAAATACAAATTTCTTCCGTGAATTTAAAATGAATTCACCCTAATCATTGATTTCCTTCCATTCATATTCCTAACTTTACCCAAAGTAATATTTAAAGCAATTCCACAGCACCATAAATTCCACGCAAAGCAATGATTTGTTGTAATAAAGAAAGCCTCCGCAAATAGATTATTTATTCCTAATAATCCAGCCTTCTATCTTAAAATCTGCGATACTCTTCTACATTAAAGCATATGTCAGACGAGTATTCACTCTGGTTGAATTCACAGTCACATGAACATCTCATCTCACTTACTTTGTAAAATTTGAGGCCACAGTGGCACCACAACATTTGAATATGGCATCGCTATAACTATTTCGCTTCACGTTCATTGCAATATTCAGGTACGACAACAACTCTTCGTACTATCCGGCGAGCAATGGTCACCTCGAAGGCAACAATAGCAGCGGCGTTGACGGCAGAGGCGGCGAGCAGCGGCACCGTCCACGGCTCCTGACGTAGGAAGGGAGCCCACGGCAGCAGACTCTCCTCCTCCACGACCTCCCCCAGCACCGTCGACGACAGTAGTAGGTCTTCGCGGTGGGTGGTGACTGTAACATTCAACAAATGAATACATTGCGCACATGTCGTCGCTTCAGAATTTTTGTGAAAAGTAACAGCGCGAGGAATAATTTTTATTCATTATGATGCATAATTATTGCTGTATTAGATATCATTTCTAGTCTAATGCAGTGAATTGAAATTTATTTAGAACTGACAGTTATATGTGATAGTTTGTTTTTAATGAAGAATTTGTTTGCATAATGAGGTAAAAAAACTGTCGAAAATGTAATAAAATTATTGACGAGTGAGTTTATGTCTGAAAAATTTATGTCACCTCAAATAAATAGCAAGATATATGATTTTTTTCATGCGTGATCCATTCGTTTTATGAGTTCAAAATTTTCAGGAAATTGTAATTTCCCTCCTAATTATTCATTATCATTTTAATAAATTATTTAGTTTAAATACAGTAAGTAAACAGACCGATTTTCATTAAGTTTTGTCCTATGAGCTCGTGACACTTTGTAAAATCTGGAATTACAGAGAAAAATAGCGCCGTGCGCATTATTACAGACTGATGTGATTTTATCGAAGTTACACTAGTCAACAATTTAATACTAAGGAAAGTCCATTGACAAAATAACACACACATAAAAATTATTCAATCATAATTTCATCTAATGATGAAAGCACCTACGTGCCAATATTTAGAAAAACGGTCAGCATTCTGAAGATCAGATGAAGTTATTCATGTCATATTCATGCCAAAAGTTATTCAGTCTGCGGACAAAGCTTCTATGGAAATTTATTATTTTATTCCACAACTATGCACGAATCGCCTATTAATAACAACAATCGTACGAAAATAAATATAGGAAATGGAATACGAGTAGCGTACCATTTCTGAGCACCGCTGGGGCGAGCACGAGACCTCCGATGTTAGGACGGCTCTGTGCTGCCGTCATGAGGCGCGGCGACAGGCGTGACGGGTCCATCTCATCACCGATGGCCGTCTATATTGCCTCGCGATTATTGATGATTAACTACTAAAATCGCTTGGAAATTACTGGGATAACTTGTGTTATTTACACTAAGTTTCATTGCTATTTCGTGCGAATAAGATTTTTGTTCCAATATATTTTCACTCCGCATGAGTCATCACATTGTTTCACTTGAATAAATCATAGGTTAAATTGAAATGAATTTAGAGTGGAAGTGAGTAATTTCAATTACTTCAATAAATTGAAATAATTAAATTTATATACTTAATAAATTTTGTGTGACAATTTTAACTTATTTCACGCTCACTATTTATTAATGTCGATAGACTCTGGATTTTTTTTTCGTGGGGCTTTGTCTATCCCTTTTGTTTTTGTTTAAAGGAAAATGTCATGGTCTTAGGAAGGTAAAAAAGATGTGTTCGCTCCTCTGTTGAAGGTTGCGTCTTCCGTTCGATTTTGCTGTTGCCTTTGAACGCGTCCGAGTAATGGCAGCTCCTGTAGCCTATGGAATGCAAAGAGAAAAAAATTAGAAAAAATTTTAACACGAATCTGTTAGAAAAAATTTTAAGAAAGGAAAAAATTATCATTCTGAGATTTGGTGAAGAAATTGAGGCGCAACTGCACCATATGAGGATTATCAATCTGTTAGAAATATACTTTACAGAGAAAATACAGATTACTATCAACTTTAATTGTTCCTAAAATATTTAAAAAATCATCTCTAGGTCCACATTATTTATTTTTCCATAGGCGTCGGAAAACAGCTGTTTGTTCACATAAAGAGAAGGTTTGTTCAGGGTACAAAACTAGCTAAATTATGGTATTCAGAACTCAAGAAACGGATATTGACCTTCGGAGGCGAAGCGCATAAGTTTTTTTATGGTAATAAACTGAGTATTAAGTCTGCTAATAAAAAAAGTGCGTATGCATAAATGCGACAGAATAAAATTTGAAGTAGAGACTTGATTTTCGATGATATTGTTCCATACGTAAAATTATTTCCCGAAATTTGCATGGGTGCGCCGCCACGTCAGGTTTTCTTGGCAGTCTGTCGCAAAAAATGCATGGCCATGATTCGCTATCAGCTCATCTTCCGTCATTGTCCTTAATGACTTTTAAATGCAGACCCTCGCTTCAGCCTCATGAGTCTTCATAATTTTGCTCGAAAATAATGCACTACAATTCTGATGAACTTTGAAGAAGAGTTCATTCACTTCGTTTTTTCTGTACAGCGAGCGGCAATATATATGAAAATGATACTTTAAAAATATTACTGTTATTTTTATACTATAATATGAGCTATGTCGAATTTTTAATTATTCAAAGCTTTTGAAGGAATAGTAATAGCTAGCTAGCAATTGTACGGAAAAATCAATTCAGTTCGTGTAGCAGTTACTTGTTCTTAGATTTTGGCGTTCTCAAATATGCGCAAAACGTATTTTTAATTAACTAAATTAAGCATAAAGCTGCTCTAAATTCACAGTACTATTAAAGTTTTGGTTGCATCATTTGAGAACATAACCACGATATAGGACATAACAATTGACGATTTGAATTTGGCGAATTCATCGGAGTGATGAAATTCTGTTGCACCAAAGGGCTCGAATCTGAAGTGTTTATCTTGTTTTCCGATCAACTAATTCAAGATTGAGCGTTCAACGAATGACTCTCATCCTTCAATAATAGCAAGGTATCTGCAATTAACAAGAATTTCTGTGTAGAAAATATTTTTTTATTGTTACTGGAAATTTATTTCAGATACACAACTTCGTCGTCCTGCTAATTTAGACAATTTTAATGAGAGCCATTTTCTATAAGGCTAGACATCCGCTGCCAAAGATTAATTTTCAACATTCCATGTCCATAATTCTCTCGAGAAAGAACTGAGCTTGCTGGCTTCACTTCCTAAACAATTTAGAGGCAGTGCAGTATAATAGCTGAGTTAGCGACTAAATCGGCTCATTAAATGCCCCTAAAGATTTTTATTAACGAATTCGGTCGCTTTTATTGCTTTTATGAAGAGTTGTTACTGAACGTCGTGCAAGCGAGCTGCATTTCGCTCGTTCTGCTTCTTGAGTTCGCGTATCTGAGGTGTGCTAACTCAGCTTCGCTTATCAAAGTTGCTTTAAATTACCGTGAACGCTCAATTAAAGTTTCTTGAGGATCATGAGTCGGTATTCAAAAAATTAGAAGTAACTATTATTAATATTAACGAGTTTGCAATCGCAAATCAATCCAGGCAATCAGTAGAGGAAAGAATGTTAATGTGGGTGAATTTTCATAGAGGGGATATTTGTTCGGTCGATCCTGCAAATAAAATTCTGTAGTACAGTCAGAAATCCTTTGCTCTCTGTGCATTCATTGGTATCTTATTATCATATCGTGGTAATCGTCGGAGTGCCTTACCATGGAGTGGCTTTTTTTTTTTCCCCCTTTGGGGTTGATTCGGAAAAATAGAATTATTGCCTTAATTAGATTCAATGGCTAAACTCATCATAGTGCAGTTTAATGCATGAAATAAAGTAAATTTTAATTGTAAAGAATGAATTCACCAATTTATTTTCAATACGCACCAATTAATCACCTCATTTTCGAGCCAATTAGAAGTGAGCTCCCGAAGAGCACAGAGCCCAGTTGAACCGAGACGTCGACTCGCGCATTCAATCAGTCATGACACGAGCTTTGTTTGCGGCAAAAAAGTCACGCTTGCAAAAAATTTATGTTTTCATTACGGAGGAGAAAGTGGCAACCGAATCGCACTATATGGCAGTGCAGCGCACGAACGATCTTAGAAAAGCTACTCGAAATGATTCACGAACAGCACGAAAAAATGACGTGTGAAAGCGTGAGATGGTTCACTCGAGCGATAATTATCACAAACGTTATTACTGCTCAATTTCGGACTGAATTTCACTGAAAATCGCAAGTTACTTGCTCTCTATAAACTTGTATATGTTCTTTTACTTTTATATTCTAATTTTCGGAACACAAAAGCAGTTCTTAATAATAAATAATAAATAAGTATAAAGTTTTTTAGCACCTGATTGGTTAAAAAATTATAATTTATAATATTGAAATAATATTGAATTATAATATGATTCAATTAAAACTATTTCATTATAATTTTAATTAGAATATAATTATGATGAAGTTAATAGTATTGAGGATATTTTCCCTTGCGGAACAAGAGTTTATGCCTAAGTAGTGATCGCAATTATACATGCGTTACACTGACATGCATGATAAATTAGTAAGTTGTATTAATTCATGTCTTTGCTTTGTTTGTAGTGTATTTATTTGTGGTTGATGTATACCAGGTATATCAGAAGGAGACGAAGGGTAATTGTTTGTTATTGAAGTCATTCAAAAATTACTCATCTTATTAGATTTGTTAAATGACATATTCGTTATTTGTAACTTCTTCACCTGCAAAAAGGCTTGGATATTTATCTAAATTGCATAAATATATGAATGTTTAGTTATTTATTTATCAAAAGTGCGTAAATATATGAAGGTTTATTTATTTATTCATTAAAATTGCATAAATATTTAAGTTTGATGTAAATGCCCACCACAAATGAAATCAAATACTTGTAGCTAATGTTTTTACTTGAACTCTCTACGATCTAATGTCAATGCGGTAATCAAATTCACCTCATCGATGAATTACGTGATGAATTTATTTACATGAACCTGGCGACTTCCTTGGGCTCAATAAACATCGCATCTCTGCGCTGCACCACATGGCGGACGCCAACTTAATTGACCGCGCAGATCCTTCCATGTAATCCTCTCTCTGAGACTTGAAACGTTGGCTGATTACACAGAAGGTCGCAATAGTACTGTAAAGAGGTAAATTTATTTACTTCGCCATAAGTATAATAAAAAAAGATGAGCTATAGGATTAACGCCTCGCGGGAGAGGAGTTCGGAAGGCATTTCACGCAGAATTTTTTAAAGCCTCATAAAATAGGCTGATCTAAAAAGAATTAATGTCGGAAAATAGGTTTGATTCTATTTTTTTTACTAATTTCTCACTTGAACACGACTTAAAAAGAATTCGAGTACAGAGCATTACAGCTGATCTGAACAATTTACTTTCGTATATGAAACCTTTGCTCTTTATTTCTTAACGAAAATTATCTCACTTGAATGAAGCTCCTCAAAGTGATGAGTTGGTAGCGTGTGAAAGTATTCGCTAGACTCGTCCTGGACAAGCTAGACGCCTATGTAGCACGGGGCCCATGTGCTGGAGTGATGTGCGAGCAGCCTAAGATATTATTCATAACGCGAGAAGAGAGCAGTTTGCATACTTCAAGTGTTTGGCTTATCTAAGAGCGAAGTTCAACATACGAACATTGCTTTGCATACAGTATGCATCATACAGATCTGAGGAAGTTTTCTTCCAGAAGGTTGTTGGTAGAAAATAAAAGATGTACATACTTGAATGCAACTGGGAATAATTTACCATTGACGGCCGCATTAAATATAACGCCATTGCAACTACACCCATTTTATTCTGCAGCATTTGTATACAGAGAGAACGGCAGGAAACAGCTATTCTTGGATTTTCACGACAATTAATTATTAAGTTTAATAGTTTTCCTTCCATTTTCATCGCCCCATTATGGCTGGCTAAAAAATTATTTATTGACAACTGTCGTGGAAACTGGAATTATCAACGGCTGGCCTACGGGCATTCAGGGTACTTCCATCATGTGGAGAAATCTTTTTACACGGATGTACTAAGCCTGTTTACATTTTCTAAGCCTGAGAAACTGTTGGTAAACAAGGGTTTGGCTCATGAATGATGACAGATGTTATGACTTGAATGAGGAAAGAATTATTACCATCAGCGACGTATTTTAACTTTCACTACTTCTTACATGAACTTATAACTTATGCTTCCTAAGAAAATTCTTTCTTCTCGTGTTTGTCGTAATTCAGAATTTTAGTACTATAATTGTTAGTGAACTTTATGAAGTAATGCCTTATTAGGCCATCATCCTAGTGGTTATGTGTCTGTCGGATGCCTCTGGATAAATATTATGTGGTCTTTGAGTGGTCATTATTAGAGTTCAAATAATGCTCCCCGTACACGTTTTCATTGATGATATTTTACATACACACAAACCACGATTCTATCCTCTGATATATCAATAAAATTTCTTCTACTGTGAGCCCCACAATTTCATTTTTTTCAGGGCGTTAGTATAAATCTTTGAATTTGACAGAAAATTGATTAATCACCAGCAATTTGGTTTATTGTAAAAACATTGCATATCCCAGCGTGAATTGGATTTGCTTCACTTTGGCCCAGGGTTTCATGTCACTCGGTAGCATTTAGCTGCACTCACTAAGAATAACAAGCGTCGGAAAACCACAGAAAATGCGTACTGTAATTGGCGAGCATCGAAGATCTCATGCATGAGGATGCATAAAAATAAGGCCGTTCGAGAGCAATCGAAAGACGCTAGTTGATTTCTCTACAGCAGGCAGAGCT